ACCAGGAGTAAAAAAACTAAATGACTTCTTAAACGCTTTGACAAAAGAGCCCGGGACTTAAATCAAAAAAAGGCCAAGCATATAATTTATGAAAACCCACAAAGCACCTTATGTGGAGCCGGTAACTTTTTATTTGAGAATTCGGAGGCGAGTCTTTATGCTAAAAAAAACTTCACAATTCAACCCCATCTTAAAATCTGAAACTAAATATAAAAACAACCCAACGGTCCGACACACAACACTGCATTCTCTACGTTTTCGGCTCTATGATGAGACTTCATAGCTGGCACCAGTCCTAGAAAGATTTGTTCTCTGTTTGTTGCGGATTAGCTTTGCAATGGCTTATATAGCCTTGTTTCTGATGTTTTGTTTTCTCCCACGCTTTTGCTCTCTTGTTGTATTTGTTTGTAGAACTGTAGAACTAACAATTCCTCAGAATTTTATAGGTGAAGAACCTTCCCCAACGGCCATTATCACAACCCGCTTCTAGGGTCAGAATAATACAATAGTAGAGAAATAGAAAGAAATCCGATCACCTGTCAAAAATTTTATAATAATGGTGCTCCACAATCCTAACAATTGGCATTGGGTGAACAAGGATGCCTTTGCGTGGACCAAGGACTACTTGCAAAAGACTCTTTCTACCATCTCCGCAGAGGAGAATGGGGTGACTGCTCAGATAAAAAGAGTCATCAGCATGGATGGCGACGTAGATGTCAGCCAACGGAAAGGCAAGGTTATCACATTATTTGATGTTAAACTACAGTTAGAGTATGAAGGTTAGCACACCTCTCTATCAACGGCTTTGACCCCATTGCGTGGATGGACGTGAGCTGAGCTGGGCTGTTACTAGGTAAGACGAGCGACGATGAGGAAGTAAGCGGCTCAATCAACATCCCGGAGGTCGCCCACGATACCGAGGAAGACCAGTATGTCGTACGTTCCCTAGCTAGACCCTTGATCATGCTCGTTTCCCTTGTAGATTGATGACCCGTTTTATAACAAACGAGGGATGTGAATAGTTTGATATTGGTATCTACTCCGAATCTGCCTCGAAGCAACCGGTGAAAGACCTTGTGCGCTCTAAACTCGTCCCTGAAATGCGCAAGGAATTGGCAAAATTAGGTGCTGCTTTGATTACCGAGCATGGGAAGGATATCCAGCATGCACCCGAATCAAACCCTTCGAGTGGCTTTGCGACTCCTGCACACCTACCCAAGACCACCACGCCAGCCCCAAGTACCTCCACTCCCAGCTCTACAACCACCGGTGCAGGTACCGTTAATACTACAACTGTTACTGCCACAGACGAATTCCGCACAACAGCAGAAGAACTCTATACAACCTTCACCGATCCTCAGCGTATTGCCGCTTTCACTCGTGGAGCTCCTCGACGGTTTGACGGTGCAAAGGCTGGCGGCAAATTCTCCATCTTCGATGGCAACGTCGAGGGTGAATATGTCAAGATAGAGCCCTCTACAAATATTGTTCAGAAATGGAGGCTTGCCCAGTGGCCCGAGGGTCACTATTCCACGCTTGAAATCAAATTTGATCAGAATGATGTGGACAAAGTTACCAACATGCGTGTTCAATGGGAGGGTGTCCCTGTAGGGCAGGAAGAGGTTGTCAAGAGGAACTGGGAAGGATACTACGTTCGAAGCATTAAGCAGACTTTTGGGTACGTTTGATACTTTCATTTCTCACCCTTTTACTCTCATACAATTATCCAGACTGCCAACGCCCTGGGTCATTCTCTAATAGTCCTTCGCTCTCAATCTCGACATTTGCACACTCATGGACAAATTTACTGACCATTGCATTCTTTGCCTCTTTGCTTCTTGCTGTAGGTTTGGTACGATACTCTAATTTTCTGTGAACCGTACAAATTATATCGAAAAATGATGACGTTCGTTCGGTTGGTTGTTCTTTGACATGGAAAAGTTTCTCAAATCAAATTTGCATAAACCTTAAAAAGAGTATCAACGATTCCACATGACCAATACCTAATTGAGGTGTTGAAAGAAGATCCTTGTTGTCATTTTTATCAGCTCCCTTCTTCTTTTCTCCTATCCACTAGTTCCATCTGGCTAGATTCTTTGTTCAAACTGGTGCAGGTGTTGGGCAATTACACATGTTAGAGTAGCCATTCAATATCCGTAATTGCATGTTGGTAAACGATTGCATCCATCTTGCTTGTTTGAAGTGGTATTCTAGAGATAGTTGGGTCAATTTCTTCTATGTCTGAGAAATTATTCTCAAATTCTCAACGATAATCAACGTGTAACTGAGATTAATTTACCCTCTCTACATCCTGAGCACCCACACAGCTCCACTTCGATATTGCGAATTTTATATATGCACATTTCTACTATAGCCCCAGCCCCAGCCCCAACCAAACTCCACTTCCCAACCACCCCTCATTGACATAACCCGCTCTCAGCAAGCCTCTCGCTCACGGAAGAAAATCCTCGGCTCACCTAAAGCCATAGGCACCAGCGACTGCCCATTTGAATCCACTACAACAGCCTGACACAAATAAATGTCCATAACTTTCATACCAGCCACATAAGCCATTCCACCATGATTCAATGTGTAAAACGAGTCGGAGGAACCAAGGCTAGAAAGAATAGTGATGACATGCTTGCCGTCAAAACCGCCTGCGCACGGCGATCCTACTGCTGGCTTGGTAAGTATCTCGACTCAGAATTGTTGGCAAAAAGCTTCCAGGTGAGGGCCAAGGGTATACCTATTGGTGATGGATGCGTACTTTACCTGTAAGATAATTGGCATTACCCGATGATGCCTTCTTCTCATGTTGTTGGATTTTGTAGTGAGCTGATATCGTGTGCTGTATTATAGTGGATAGCCAGGTAACTAGATCATTTCCACCCGCGTAACGCTGTTCTTGGCCAGCATAAATTATTGGAATTCAGTCCGCGAGTGTTGTAAAGACTAGCACATTCTGGGCCAGAGATATGTCATTGGTGTAAATAACTTGATGGTAACAGAGCTTATTTTGTTTTTATTTTAATTTTTTTATTTTGGGAGAAATGGGGTAGGATTCATTGCACCTTGCGAATCTTGGGGTGTCGTGGTTTTCAGCGACAGTTCCCGGGAGAGAAGTGTCTGCACAGGTATTCTTTGCTGTGTTGATCATATCGCAATTCTCTGGGTATTTGCACGAGGAGACCTGAAGGCTTCTAGAGGGATAATACCTAGAAACTAATTGCTCAGTCGTGAACAAAGAAGCGTGTTGTACAAATGATCTCTCTGTATACTTTTCCCATGGAATATACACAGGCAACACCATTGAAGTGTGCCCAGAATGGTTTTTGTACATGTTTTACGGTGTCAACTCAAAGACCTATTGAGGAAACTGTCAGTACCAGGATTTCAATGCTGGATGGGCCGATGAGGAAGGCGAGGAGGAAAGGATTAAGGTGCTGGAGTGTTTGGAAACAAGCGCAGAAACCTAGCTGTTGAAAATGCCCCTTGAGGTGTCAACGTCTGGAAGCGACAGCGTATCATCCCCAAGACAACAGTTCTCAACATTGGCTTGGTCATCATAATTCGTGATTGGGCAATATGAGTGAAAATAACTGTTACTATTGAACTGAACGACTCGACTGTAATCGACATGATGACTAGGACCAGCGTAACCCTAAGAAAACATGAGGATCAAGGCAGGCAGGCAGATGAGGATGGATATTCTGGTATTACCATGCGATTCGCAACTGCATCGACCATGAGATATATCCCACGATCGTGAATTCCAGTGCTGAGTGCCCTAAGGTCATCAGGAGATCCATGAATGAGGTTCCACATCGTTTCTATTATGAAGACTCAACCAGCTATGCAACAATCATAAAGAGATGTGACTGAATCCCTATTTTGGGGTATTACAGATCTTGTGGCTCACATGCCTCGCTGCTAATACCCATGGAAGGAGATCCCATAGCTGGCTAGCTGAGGGAGCTGATTCGAGAAATGAGAAATCAGGTTGCTGTGAATCCCATGTTCTGCATGTAATCAGCTTTTCCAAATTTCAGGAAAATGGTCTGGGGAGACCTAGATGATTCAATGGAGGTCCATTTGAAAATGATCTCCTGCTAAAATCCATCACAGTATATCTATATAGATGTTAGATTAGGTATGCCCCATGATCACTGGAAGATGAATGCCATTGAGAGTAAGATAAAGGCCCCTTACTCGAGGTTTAGTGTCACACGCAGCAACGGTAGATCCATCAGCCTTGCAAAACGGTCTGTGAGAAGGAAGGACATCGATTTCGAATGCCAATTTACTGGAGTTACAACAATCACTGTTCGTATCACAACAAGAACAGAGATTGAAGCCTCAAGGAAAGGGAACTTCATGACATTGAAGTCTTAGACGTTCCTTTCCTGGTATTCTTAACAAAAAGTATTGAATAATAGACGTTCATATCATAGACACAACGACAACCCCCTCTGTCTCCGGTTGCTTCAACACTTCTGGTCTTGTTAGGATCTCAGGAGTATCACTGACGGGGCCCTGATTTCTCCCGCGATGATCTTTCTCATGTCAACTTAAACACGTGGGCAGTCTGCACCAGCCTCGTCAGCAAGGATATCTGCGGAGTAATGTAGCATAAGAATGCGGGGTGCATCCGGGGTATCTGGGCGCAGCGCAGTGAAGTCGGTTCTGGTATGTAACTCTGCTCGTCAAAAAGCGTTGTTGGCTTACAGCGCGGGAGACCGGATATTGCTTGCTTAATTCCCGGCTCCCATTGAGACGAAACCTGCTAAATTATTTACGAGTCACTCCCATAACAATAGACACGTCGTGACAAGGTACGCAGAATTAACGGGAGTACTTTTATGGCTGACTGATCATCCGGCGTATTCCGTAGGGGTGGTAGAGTAGACGTTAGTTAGAAAAGGGGTTAAGAGTTTGATAGAGCCTAAACTTCAACTAAGAAGCCCCGATACTGGGGGTAGTTACTGGCCTTGGCTTAACTAACCAAACTCCACATAGTTTAGTTAGATAGCTAGGTCTCGCTTAAGTCGGTGATTGAACATACAAAGGATACATATATTATGAGATTCATGAGATTCAGACTGCTTATATAGTTAGTTATAGTTAGAATCAGATGTTTTTGATAGCCACAACTATCTCAATATAGCTCAATTGAATAAGAAAATTGATATAGAAAGAATCAAATAAAATTCATTATTCAAATATGAAGAAATCAATTGAAATATGAACATAGTGAGTGTAAGTGAGGTCCGATGACAGGAATCAACATTGAAATCCAAAGGTTTAGTTAGTTAATAAATTAGTTACAAGTTAACTACTACTATAGTTAACTAACTGGTTAATCATCATCATAATGTTTGCTAAGTTAACCTGATTCACGGCTAAACTTCTTCATGCTTGTTCATCCTCAGATTTTACGCTGCAGCACGATCATTGTAACTGCTGTAAAGTAGGTTCTGTGCCAAGTTCGACTCCGAGAATAGTTACATTGACCTACCGTCACTTTTCCGACAGTGGTCTTCAATCACCAGATTCTCACTTCTGGTTGCAAATCACAGCTGGCTGGGAACATGAAGAGGAAAAGTCTCTGCAGAAGCACGTGGAAACTGCTTACCGCAGTCGTAGATATAACTATAACTACCGGGTTCAAGCCCCTACATCAAGACCCAATTCCTTTGTCTTGGGATTTCTCATTATCATCGCGAAGACCGCTGGTCATTGAGATTGTGCTGTGGGAACATATCAAAGTGGAAAATTGAAATAAATATTCAACTCACAACCAGTTATCTGTTAACTATCGCCTTGCTTCGAGACCGTGGAGTTTCCAGTTGCCCATTATCTAATAACTAGTCACTGGAGCGGAAGATCAGTATTTGCCCACTTCCTCTGTTGCTCACAAATTCTTCGAAAACATTGCCAGTTGAATTGCCCTCAATGCTCGCCTTTTTTCTTTGCGCTGTTTGGGTGCTCTCGTTGTTCCGGGTGGTGCAGGCTCAATCCCAAAATCCACTTGGGTTAAAAGCCACTGGCTCATTAGATGCGTGGATTGCAAAGGAAAGCCCGTATGCCCTACAGGCACTCCTAGCCAATATTGGAGCAGATGGTGCAAAGGCAAAAGGTGCAGCTGCTGGCATTGTCATTGCAAGCCCTAGCAAAAGTGACCCTGATTGTAACTATGTCAAAGACTACCTCCCGCTTATTTGCACTTATCAGCTAACAACACACTTCCAGACTTTTTTACTTGGACTCGAGATGCTGCCTTAGTATTCAAAGGTCTTGTGGATGACTTTATTTCCGGGAACACTGGTCTTCAACCGAAACTTCATGAATTTATCAACTCGCAAGCTCGCCTTCAGACAGTGTCTAATCCTTCGGGAGGGCTCTCATCGGGTGGCCCTGGTGAACCTAAATTTCATGTCGACATGTCACCGTTCAATGGCGACTGGGGTCGACCCCAAAGAGATGGACCTGCCTTGAGGGCAACTGCTATGATTTCTTATGCGAGATGGCTCGTTGTGAGTTCCCCGACCGTATATCACTACACATAAATGCTAACGTGACTCCAAGGCAAATGGGTACTCTGATACTGCGAAATCGATAGTTTGGCCTGTGGTCCAGAACGACCTTTCTTATGTGAGCCAGTTCTGGAGCTTTTCTGGCTATGGTATGCATGCATATACTGATATCCACTGCAAGATTTCTGGGAGCTGACTTCATTTAGATCTCTGGGAGGAGATAAACAGCGTGTCCTTTTTTACAACAGCGGTGCAGCATCGCGCTCTTGTTGAAGGCGCTAGACTTGCACGTCAGTTAGGACTCACCTGCCCGAACTGCGAATCCCAAGCTCCTCAGATTCTCTGTTCTCTGCAGAATTACTGGACGGGTTCCTATATCAATTCCAATACCGGCGGTGGTAGGTCTGGTAAAGACACTAACTCTATTCTCGCAAGCATTCACACATTTGACCCTGAGGCTGCTTGTGATGACACGACTTTCCAACCTTGTTCCGCTAAATCACTGGCAAACCATAAGGTGGTAACAGATGCTTTCCGTTCTATATATGCTTTGAATTCTGGTATCCCAGCAGGTTCAGCCGTTTCAGTCGGTCGATATCCTGAAGATCTCTACTATGGCGGTAACCCCTGGTATCTGAGTACCTTTGCCGCAGCGGAGCAGTTGTATGATGCAATTTACCAGTGGCAAAAGATTGGTTCGATTTCGATTACCAATGTGTCACTTCCTTTCTTTAGAGATGTTTATGGTTCTGCCATGATTGGAACTTATTCGTCTTCCAGTTCAGCTTTCAAGTCGATAATAGAGGCTGTAAGAAATTATGCAGATGGATTCCTAGCTATTTCGGTAAGCTAAATTTGACCCACTGTCAAGTAATCCGTGTTGAGTTCTTCTGGGAGCAATATACTTAGCGTGGTCGTCATTTTATCTAGCAAAAATACACCCCAGAGTCTGGTGCTCTGGCCGAGCAATTCTCCCGGGACACTGGGACCCCTCTGTCAGCAGGTGATTTGACATGGTCATACGCCTCGTTCCTTACGGCTATTGCCCGACGTAGTTCAATTGTCCCAGATCCTTGGGGAGAGACCGAAGCTAACGGCATCCCGAAAACTTGTCAAGCTACGTCAGCGATCGGGCCTTACATCACGGCAACTAATACTAATTGGCCGTTGAACCTCACACCTATCAAGAGAACGGCGACGCCCACATCTACTTCCACCGCTTCCACCACATCATCATTTCCATGCGTCACCCCTGGCTCTGTCAATGTGACATTCAATCAAATCGCTACAACTTTATTTGGCCAGACGATTCTCCTTGTCGGCTCCATTCCAGAACTCGGGTCCTGGGCACCTGGATCTGCAATTGCCCTCTCTGCGGACCAGTATACCGATGCCAACCACTTGTGGTATAAAACTATTACATTGAGTGCAGGCCAAAAGTTCGAATATAAGTATATTCGTAAGGAGACGGGCGGTGATATCGTGTGGGAGGGTGGCTCCAACCGCCTCTATACCGTACCGCGTGGATGTAATATTTATACGGCAAGGAGGGAAGACAATTGGCGTTCGCAATGGGCATTTTATACAGAAGAGACGCAAACATGGCATGCTAGGAAAGATTGAAAAGAATACGGGATTATGAGGGACCGCATAATATCCGCTGTCAATTCATCTCTGAGAATCCAAACATCAAAATCCAAAGTCCCGAAACAATTACCGTTTCTTAGCTAGTCGACTTGGCCATGAGCGATCAAATTTAAGATCGATCGTGGTAGAAGTTTTGCAAGGGTTGCCCTGAGTTGGTGCTATACTAGAATAGGAAAATCATACGTGTAGTTAACTAACAAGCATACCAGGCACGGTTTAGATGCTTTATCTACGCTAGATATTTAACCTGAAAAGAGCATCTTTTTTTTTTTTTTTCTCCGCGGATTAGTATTTCAGCGGCTTAGTTTACTTAAGAAACGGATTATTCTAATATTGGATTAGGACTTCCTAGCGAAATGGTTGAATGTGCAGTTTCTCAACGGGGTTTCGATCCAAATATGAAATTCCTGTCTTTGCACAAAACATAAGCTTGACGAAGTCGCCGAGGAGCAATCCCTGCCTTTCAGCCTTGGATCTTCCAGCAGATTGATGCTGGGGTGGAGAAAATGTCCATCCCGTGGAGCCTCCCAGGCTGTCTTCAAACCCTCCAACATCTTCCTGCAAACGTCGTGGGCCAAGGAGTTAATGCATGATAGACGTTTATGTACTGTTTTCCCTTTCCCCATATCCCCCAATCGGCAAAAGCGCGACACAGGACGGAAATATCGCATTATCTTCGCACGGGATATACCATGAGCAATCATGATTCCATAGATATCGTATGCCTGAATTTCCCCACCGATTTCTCCTCCAGACCAAATTTTGTTACGAGGAATCACGGGTTGTTTCCACCCTCAAGCTGTTCCAGACGGTAGTTATTGCACTGCCCTGCCTTCCTTTTGCTTTTTATTATTCGCTTTTGCCACGAATAGTCGTCTTGATTTCGAATGATCGTCTGCCAAATTAGCAATGATTTCCGAGTGAAATCCCTTATGCTGCTATAGCTAAAGTTGCTGACGTTCTGTTTCTCTTCGGTGCAAGAGTGCAGTAATTCATCGACTCGCGCAGTGATCCGGCGATAACGAGCTTTGCCACTTTAAACAAGGGAACAAGTCACAGGTTGTCTGAGATCCCTATAGTTGTGAGAGGATTAACAAACTCCAGGGGCCTTTAGGGGTTAATGTGCTTCATTTGTTTTCATTGGTTCTTGCTTTCATAATCATATATCTTTTTTGTAGACGGTTACCATGAGGTTGGCTTACTTTTCTCTGCGAGCTAAGCTAACTACCCGTTCAAAGGTTGGGTAGTTACTTGAAACTAGTCTAAAGGCCAAGATACAAAATATAGACCTCTGACGTCTATTTAAAAGGACACCTTTCCCTTCAGAGAATAATATGTCTTAGGTCACCTGCGGCAGTTTTGAAGTACGGGCTGCCTGTCAACAGATTTCATATATCCTCATCAGCTTCCATATATTCTCAACTCAGACGACCTCGTACACCAAATTGACTTTCTTCAATTTCAAACCCCAGGCGCAGTATCATATACAACATCCACCACCGTTGCCAAACTCGAAAACATGGCAAATCAGTCCTCCGTGCCCACTGCCCGATCTCTCTGGCAAGATGTGGAAAAGGATACTCTCACCCTCATACAGCGCCCTATTCCAGTGGTCAAACCGAATTCCGAGGAGCACCTTATACGCGTCCACGCAACCGCTTTGTGCGCCAGAGAGCTTCTTTGGCCCAAATTATTCCCAGTTCCCGGAAAGACAGAGATTATTCCTGGTTACGATCTTGCTGGAACAGTCGTAATTGCACCAGAGTCTTCCCCCTTCGAAGTTGGGGATCAAGTGTATGCTCGCACCAATTACGAGCGACCGGGTTGTGCCCGCGATTATACCATTGCGGTGACCTCGGAGATTGCGCACCGGCCAACCAATCTATCCTGGGCCGAGTCAGCAACAATCCCATTGTCCGCATTGACCGCTTGGCAAGCATTGTTTGTTCAGGGCGGGCTAGGTGGGCCTGAAAATGCGGCAAATAAATATAAGAAGGTCTTCATTACCGCTGCATCTGGCGGAGTTGGATCGTGGGTTGTCCAGCTCGCCAGGATTGCAGGGCTTCGTGTCTGTGCATCGTGTGGAAGTGAGAATGTAGAATTCGTCCGTGGCCTGGGGGCGGATGAAGTGGTTGATTACAGGACGACAACATTGACTGATTGGGCTGCTGCTGACGACAAGAGAAAGGCTGACTTGATAATTGATTGCTTCGGCAATGAGACGTTGAAGGACGCCTGGGGTTGTGTGAAAGATGGGGGTACGCTGATCAGCATCGTGCAACCACCCGAGGAGAAGAAACCAGCTAATTGCACGGCGAAAAATGTCAGGAATTTCTTCTTTATTATGGAACCGAACGGGACGCAGCTTGCTAAAATTACCGATTTGGTATTGCAAGGGAAGTGCCATGGAGTCCTCGATAGTACATTTGAGCTAGAGGAGTTCGAAAAGGCATTCGCTAAGGTTGATACTAGACGAGCGAAGGGTAAAGTTGTTTTAAGTGTACATGAGTGAAACGGTTTTACTTGGTTTGTGATTCAGTCTCTTCCAGTGGTGTTAGTATCAGAGTTTAATGATTTACTTTTCATGACCAGAAACCCCCAAGTAACACACGGGGAAAAATTATAAGTAGTTAACAGATACACGAGATTAATTGGAATTTTCTATGAAGTTTGCAATTTTCAGACTTCCTTGATACTTCCTAAGTATAGTAAGTTAGATAAACTACTCACCTAAGAACCTAGTGACATACAACCAGAGGGTGTTGGCAAGGGGAATAGCAGCACACTATATCAATTTCAAGCAAAACCTGATGCATACGACTATAGGGAGTGGAAAGGATGGCTCTCCGTCCGCTCCGCCGTGCTTAAATCCCTCGCTGGCTAGTTAGTAGTTGGTTGGCTGACCACCGTATCCAGCGAATACTGGCAATTGTATGTTTTTAGGACCCCTCTCCAACTTTCTTTCTTTTTCTCCCTTGGTGCCGTCTCCCATCATGTCAAGCCGCCTGTAAATCCTGTATCTTCCTATTCCGTCTGACTCTGACGGAAACAATCTGAAGATGATACATAAGTCCTATGAATGCCAGTCCTTACAACCTGACACATACAACCATCGCGAGGTTGGGACACACAGAAGGAATTCGGATGGCCAACAGCTGCCATATTAGGTGTTTGAAAGGGGAAACTCGAACATGAATACCAACACCCTAAATAATACGTAGGGCACCTGCTATAAGAATACAGATCAGGAGACTTCTCCTTGTCGAGATAAGAATGGTGGTAATTCCCCTCAACGATATATATATATATGTATGTATGTATGTATGTATGTATGTATGTATGTATGTATGTATGTATGTATGTATGTATGTATGTATGTATGTATATTTGTTGTCAGACTTCGGTTGGGAGTGATGGATTTAAGGTTTAACTAAAGTTAACTTTATTAATTTAGCTTGGTCGGGTAAGAGGCATCCCACCGATTACCTTCCCGAGGCCCCGAGAACCCAACATCCCGAGATCCCCGAACCCGGAGATGCCGGACTGCGTAGCAGTAGTAGTGAATGAATTTACAGATCACTAGCTATGGAGAATAGCAATTGATAAAGACATTTCTTACACTATCCATACCAAGGCAGAAACTACAGCAATCAGGTTTTCCCAAGTTATAACTATCAAAAATCAAAGCATGTTACCCTCAGGCTCTGGAAACACTAAATCTCGATATTCCTCATCAACCTGAACAAGGATCGCATGGCCCTCCCTTTCCATCTTTTCTGTCTCGATCACGAAAGTTGCCAGTATCGTCGCGGGCTCGGTTGCGCTCACATTCGCGCTAATCTTATGGTGGCAGCCGGGCTTCTCCAACCATGTGCCTCCTTGCTGGACGGTGTACATGGGGTCATCATTCATTTTATTATGCAGGGTGCCTTGAAGCAAGCATGCGGAAACGGAGGCCCCGCCGTGTCGGTGCGGGGGGGATACGCCATTAGGAGGGAATTTCACCAGCACACCAATGATTGACATCCCGGGGCAATTAACAAGTTTGTGGTGGTAAAGCGGTTGAACGGTGGGGAGGGGTCGGCTGTTTGAATCGCTGTGTTAACGGTGAAAGCTCGTCATTGGAGCAATGGAGATGTGGGGGAAAGGAGAAATGGGAACTAAAGAAGGCTTTTTCTCACGTTCTATCATAGGTTGGTTCTGCTGCGGCCATTGTGGTAGGTATTCGATTTATGATCACTTAATTGTTTCTCGACGGAATTTTGTAGATGGGTGAGTTAAGACGGTTGTAGTTTTCTCAAAGGCAGTCTATCCCATTATATAGATATCCAACCAACGGTGGAAGCCGTCATAGTTTCTCCCAAGTATGTACAGTTTTACCTCAGCGTGCATTCCCGGACACACCCGGTCACTCTGGAGACCAGAAAAGGAAAGTCCTCAATAACTATATATCAACCCTCTCCGGAGTTCCTCGTATATAAGCATTATGATATATTCCATGCCTGCAATATCCTGGATACCCAATGTATCCATGCCAGGTGTAAGCAGCAAGCCAGCTTCGCACAAGCACTAGAAGACGGGGAAACGGGACGTCATTTCGCGCCGGACGGAGTCTTCGCTGGGCTTTGGCTGAAATGTCGGTCCCTTGTGTCACGTGATTCATTTTACACCATGTGTAATGTAGCTCGTCTCGTAGTTAGCAACCTTTGCAATCGATCAAACTTGCCATTCGGTCTTGAAATTGATATCGGGGGTAAATTAATTTCATTATAACTGCACGAAAATGGTGGCAGATGTGGTTTTTTGGACTAATCAACATGATGATAAAATTAAAGTGAGAAGGAAAATGGCTGCCATTTTAAACCATTCTATGATATCCTTCTCAAATTTCTATAACTTTCATATTGTTTCTTGACTTAAAGAGGAAAGAAGGAACCCAGTACTTAGTTATGTTCCTAATATGTATTTAGAGGGTCCTTTCAATCATCTCAATGTTATATTCCTCCTTAAGAGCCTTCATCAGAGGAGCGCATATATCCATGCTCATCGGTGCCAAGATGCCCTTAGGAGTTGTATCATTAGCTGCTCTGAACGCAATCGCGGAAAATTGATAGAAAACAATTTCGTAATAAACATGAAAATAAAATGGTAAAGGGATAGGAAATCCACATACCTTCCCCCTGATAGTCCCATCGAGAACCTGTTTAACAGCAACACCACACGGAATACCAACCAATCTCGCCATGGACGAGTAGCCATTGGGGTCACCGTAGTCGCACAAAGTGCTAGTCCTTGTCTCTTTGGAACCGTCTTTGTTCTCAATCTCAAATTTGTGCTGAAGCATAACCATATCACGCTCTCCGGGCCCGTACTGCATCTTCGCCTCAAGCGTAGCACACAGAGTATCCAGTGGATTTCCGCGAGGGATAATCTTCTCGTCAGAGAAAATTCCGATCCAGCGGAGACCAGCCAAGATGCGGTATTTCTCTTCAGTGGTGGGGAACTTAGTGCGAGAAGAGATGGCCCATTCAAGATCCCTTTCGCTCGAGGAAGTCGCAGCTAGGATTTTCTGCGTAGCTTCTTTCCAAGGAATGGGAGAGTTGAGGAAATCTTTCGCTTCGTCACTAAGAAAGCCCATGTCGACAAGAGTGCGGATCATCTCGGGGAAGCCCTGGTATCTAAGCGTGCCGCGGATGACGGTTTGGGCTTCTGGGATATTATAGCGTTCTTTGTAGACTGTTGAGTCTCTGTTTGGGTATGCGACGAAAGCGAAGCCGGGATAGATATAGTATGGCTTAGCGGTTCCCATGAGCTCAGATCGGGAGACAGACACCATCTTGCTGTCTTTGTAGAATTTCGCATCATTTCGAAGGGCGAGGAGGACACCTCGGCTAGACCAGGAGAACTTGTAGCCAAGTGGATTGTCAGAGCATTCTGGGGCGGGCAATCCACCGCAGTAGGAGAGGAAGGAGGTGATCTTTCCTCCAGCGGCGTGAACCTAAAAATAATGAATATGTGTTGGAAAAGCTTAACATAACTAGCTACACAATTAGGAAAAATAGTGTGTAACATTTACCTCAGAAATGGTTTTGACAGCGTAAAGATGATCAATGCCCTAAATTACCAAGAATGCATATCAGCAAACCTCACTGCGATCTGCTATTTCACCAGCGATCTTACACTCGGCGCAACTCACAGGATCAAGACCAATCTCATTCATGACTGTGATACCAGCCTCCTTGGCCTCCTTCTCCAATTCCATCATGGCAGGTGACACATAGGAGGTGGTGACGACATTCTTCTTGGTGCGTATGGCGCCCTTGATGACAGTGGCATGATGAGTGTAAGGGATAAGGGAAACGACAAGGTCGACCTTGGACAGTTCAGCATCGAGAGCAGCATTGTTTGTAACATCGAGGGAGATGGCTTTCGTATTCTTGATGCCCTCGGAAAGCTTCTTGGCACTCTTAAGCGTGCGGCAGGCTGTTGTTGCATACGATCAGCTGGGGATGTCCCTTATCTAGCAAATAGAGCATTCTCCTTGCCCTTTATTTCGAGAAAATGTCCATTCGACAACCCTCCAACCTCATGATGACGGGTGAATCCATTACGTACCAACCGTGACCTCTACACCCGCATTGCTCAAAACCTCAACCGTCGGTTTCGTGACTGTTCAATCGGCAGAGAAAAAGGGGGAGAATTTATCAACAAATGAATCCGGGACAAGTAACAGAGTCTTTGTATTTAGAACACCAAGACCCTCTTCCCGCAACATTTAAAACTCCAGAACAGGTAAAACGAACCGAAACCACTTCCTAACCTATATAATGGCGACAAACAGTCAGGTTCAGCTGACAATATTGAATTACGATGTTACATTTGCCGGAAATGAAATAAGTAATAAACGACGGATAGTGAAGAGCGACGGGGTGGGGTTCAAATATATTTTGGGTTAGGTACTTACAGGAGCACCTTGCGACCTTCAATTGGCTGCAGCATCACGAGAAATCTTTGGCTGAGAATAGGGAAGATCAGATTATAGATTTAATGGCTTTGATATTGCAGCCAGATGAATTGATAGAAAGAAATGACAGTTTTGCTCCTTGATGAACCTGCTTTGCAAGCGACGATGCTTAGTCATCATTTCTCCGATCTTCGGCCCGAGTTCGTTATATCTGTGGGATGGTTGAATCTCTCATATTGGGAGGCCTAGCTAGCTATCTAATATACGCTATATCACGTGCGGCGGGGCGGCCGCCCGGGCAACACACGCCCAACACCCCCCCACGCACCAAACGTGCGGGATATTATGTCCTCCGCGTATTCAAATCTAGCTATCCTATCCTAGATGTCAACCGAAACACGCTACATACAAGATTTTGCTAGAATGAACTATTTTCCTTGTGAAAGACCTAGCAAACTGATAAAACGTTTAAATGCCACTGTGCCTAGGGGTTTTGTAAGCCCGTCTGCCGCCATATCCTCCGTAGGAACGTGGTCAATCGAAATCACCCCCTCATTCAATTGCGTACGGGAATAGTGGAATCTAGTGTCGATATGCTTGCTGCGCGCGGTAATCGCTGCCACGGTGGCGAGATCGATCGAACCCTTATTATCCGCCCTAATCTGCAGGGGGTCCTTCGTAATAAATCCCATATCCAACATCATATTGCGAATCCACGTAGCCTCGCGTACGGCTTCACTAAGCGCTACGTATTCGGCTTCGTTAGAGCTCAAAGATACGCAAGGTTGCTTAGAAGATCGCCATGAAATCGGGGCACCCGCTAGCAAGAAGACGAAACCTGACGTAGATTTCCGATCGCCATTCAGGGGTCCTGCCCAATCGGAATCCGTATATCCAATGGGTGTAAACGTAGCATTTGGGAATTGAACGCGCTCACGATCGTCGGGCCCCTCGTATGAGATGCCTAGATCGCTCGTTCCTTTCAAATAGCGTACGACGTGGAGTAGAGCTTTCCACGCCTTGGGGGTGGGAACGGCGTTTTTCTGCGCTAGGAGGGATGCCGCACGGGCGATATCCGGACGTAATTTGACCGCGAGATATTGTAAGCAGCCAACGCCGTGTTGATAACGCTGTTTTGTAAAACCAGCTTCTTTTTCGGAGACAGGGGAGTCGTCGATTCGAAGACCTTCTTCCATTGGCGTACGAACGGTGACAGCGTCCTCCAGGTGGAAATCTTGCACTAAACGATCGATATACCGTTTCAGCGTCAATTTGATTCCGCCATCCTGGCGACGTTCAACCTCCATACCCAAATATTTCGACGGCTCTTTGAGATCTTTGATCTCTAACTTGCTCGCTAACGTTTCTACTAACCAATCGGCGTCCGCAGGCTCTTCCGCCATTATGTGAAGATCGTCAACGTAGATCGTCATATAGAGGTGCCTACGGGTCGTATGCCGCCATAGGGCGGGGTCGTAGGGGGACGGGGCAAATCCGTTCTCACGCAACAATGCCGTCAAGTAATCGTACCAAATCTTCGCTGCCGGATCCAATCCATATAGAGATCCTTCCACAGCACAAACCAATGTCCGTGGAGCTCCTGCTTCAAATCCGGTGGGCTGTCTCATATAGATCGTTCGTCCCAGTCGGCCATGAAGATACGCCATCACAATATCGACTTGACGTAGTGTCCATCCTTTTTTCGCTGAGATCGCGAACATCATACGATTCGTAGTGTCATTAACCACGGGGGCGTACGTCTCTTCGCGAGATCCCTTTTTCAACCAATTACCGCACGCTACCCAGCGAGATTTTCGTAATATCCCGTCCGGATCGGCGTTAGGTTGGTTCGGGCGATCTTTTTCGACGAAGATCCAACGGCCTGGTGCCACTGGTTCGTCTGCGGGGACGTCTGATCTCGGGATTAGGGTCCAGGTTTTTCGTTGTTCGAGATCTGCGATCTCACGTTGCATTGATTTCTTCCAATATTCTCCTACGCCTGGTCGATTCACGGCATCCTTGTACGTCTTTGGCAATGAACCTGTGATAGGAGAAGGGACGTACGTAGCGAACGATTTCGCAGGTCTTATCCATTCGGCGTCTTCGATTTCGGGAACTTCGCCATCCTCAACCAAGTAGGTCGTAGGATTGGACGCTAGTCCTTCAACGTTTGTTTCATTCGTACGCTCTTTTGAGGGGAAAATCACATCGCTGGTGATCAGGAGCTTGTCCGTCGCGGGATTCCACAAACGAAAAATCGATTTACCGCGAAAACCAATAAGCTTATACGATTCCGCCCTGGCAGACAGCTTATCCGCGGGTTTTTGCGATCCGTGGAGGTGAGCGTAAACGTCCGATCCGAGCTCGCGGAAGTGCAAAACCTCTGGCGGGACGTTTAGGAGCGCAGAGAACGGGATCGTATGAGGACAGCGTACGAGCTGCGATTCATCCGTAGTATCCGTAGGCCAAAATTTCGAATTATACAAGACGGTGGAAGTAGGCGTGTTGTTCGTGATCGACACTACCGTTTCCAAAATATCCGCCCAGAACTTCTTAGGGATATCCTTTCCCATAAGGACTGCCCTGGCACGCGCCATGATCGTACGAATGCCGCGCTCCGATACGCCGTCTTGGTGGGGGGAATGGGGGATCGTAGGCTCCCAAATCGTCCCCTGACTGGTCATAATCGTAGACATCTTATTGGAACGGAATACGCCGTCAATATCCGTTCTCACGTACGCAGGCGGGGTGAAACCGAGGTTTTTCATGAATTGGACCCAGTGGCCGTAAAAATCGACAGCTTGGTCCTTCGCATGCAAAAAGTAGATCCACCTATAACGGGTGGCATCATCGGTGATTAGCATGTAATATTTCGTCCCCTGGCGGGATTCAACGGGGTGATCGTTCATCTCGTCGAGCGTCTTGCCTCCGCCTGCGATATCGATATGCACGCGTTCCATCGCTCGTAGCGCCCGTGGCATCGGGGTCTGCGAGTATTTTCGTGTCATTCCGGCTTTGACGCAGGCGTCGCAGAATAGTCCTGATTTGGGGCCTTTGATTCGTACGCCTGATAGTGGATTCTTTGCCAAAGCGATTATCGCCCCAACATGAATATGACCCAGGTCAACATGCCATTCCGCGAGGGTTTTCAATATCTTATTCGGTTTATCGCCAGTTCATTGACCGTCACCATCGCGTCTCCGTATACGTAGGATTGGGCGGCGAAGTTGACCGCTTTGGACGCATGGTGGACGTCAACTTCCGATTCTCGTTCGACGATCTTGTATATGGAGCTTTGGGGCGTTCGGATCGCGGTAAATATGACACCGTTTGGCGCTCGAATAATGAAATAAGATGGGGTAGATGGGGATAATTCAAATCGGAAACCCTGGTCTTCTAGCTTCGCGAACGACAACAGGTTGACGGTTAGATTTGGGATCCAATGGACGTCTCTTACCATGATATCCCCCCCATCCGATTCTAGGAGGATATCCCCAACTTCCTTAACCTGTCCCTGTCCTCCGTCGGCCGTATTAACTTTGAGATTACCTTCAAAAGACACCGTACGTATCATCGAATGCTTCTCGCCGCTCATATTGAAGCTGGCGCAGGTATCCAAATACCATGGTTTGGATGATATCTCGGACGACGCGGATAGTGCGATCGCGGCGTTGGCACTAGGTTGAGAGGCAAGGAGATCTGGCGTCTTCTCGTTGTTTTTGTCATCCTTATATCTACCTTTCCCCTTATTATTCTTCGGTTTCCGTCCGCCACTATTCTCATCGGTATTCTCGACGATCTTATCCTTATTCGCTTCCCTCCATCGATCGGTCGCTAACTCCGGGTGCTGGCGCCAGCAGGTCTTATTTGTATGTCCTACGCGGTCACAAACATCGCATTTCGAGGCAGTAGTCGACGTATTGGACTGCTTGTTATCGCCATTCGTGGTGGCAGCGTTCGCTTTAGAGGTCTTCGGACGATCGGACTCTTTTGTCTTGCTTGTACGATTGGTTAACTGCTTCATCAAATCGTCAATATCCATGTTCACGATTGGATCTTGGCCAGTTGCGTAGAAGTCATCAAGACGGGTCTTTACAAACGCCTTCTGATGATCACGTAGGCCAATAAGGAAAAGATCGTGATAAAAATCGTCATCTTGTGTGGCTAACTCCTTATGCCGTGCAACCAGGTAGCGAAATCTCCTTTGGTAGGCAAGATAGTCGTTATCCTTGACAGCAAGGTTTGAGAGCTCCTTCATGACGTTCATACGTTCCTCTGCCAATGAGACAGCGTATTCCTGGCTGATCTTCTGCCATAGGGCAGCCGCGTTATCCGGTTCTAATACTCCAATCGTTGTACGTACAGGTCCCAGTAGGGACTGCAACATTCGACGGTATAAGGCCTTTGTACGTACTGTCCAACGCTCTTTATCCAACTGGTTGGTGTCGTATTCTTCAGGCGGTTCATGTTGGTTTTTCATAAGGATATCAGTGGCGCCAATAACCTCCGCGTCCGCCAGGATGCCAATCCTCCATGCTTGGTAGTTGGTTCCATCGAACGTCGTCACGGTCTTCGTATCCATCGAAGCTTGCACCTCCTTATGATATTCACGTATCTCCTGTTTTAGGGTATACGCAGGGGTGGTATCACTCGTACGGGCGTTCTCCCGCGCGGTCATCATCTGTTGACAAAACGTGAGAAGATCGGCCGCGGTCATCGTGATCATGCCGTTGGCATTGGGGGTAGGGATTGGGATAGGGCCAGGATTTGGGCTAGGGGTCCCGTCATCCTCTGATTCGTCGCGTACGGGCCCTTTCCCTGTATCACGGGTTGAGATGGCTTCTTCCATTGCTTCTTCCACTAACGCGTATTCGGTTTCTCCTTCGTCTCCTGAGGTGGGCACCGTATCCACTACACCTTCTTCGTAGAGTGTAGGGAACGTCTCTTGGGCCTTTGAATGGGAACGTAGAGATCTCTTTCGTTCTGATTGAGGAGTAGGGGGTAATCTACTCATCTAGACACAAGACTTGGGTAT